TTAGAGGGCCCCAAAATAACTCCTGCCTAGGGTCACAAATATTCTAGAGACGGCCCTGCCACCAATCTAAAGTCATTTCTCTCACAATATTCAAACTAAGCTATAGCTTCTTTGCTAGTAACTAAATCTAAACATGATGCAATTAACCTAGTGTTATGTTCCCATAAACAAAATAAAGACAGCATCAAGAAGAAACAAACCCCAAGAGTTCGAAAGGCATCATGCATTCCAAGCATCTAAAAATCACACAGCTCCTCTTGAAACTGGAAGACATAAATGCCAAATTTAGAATATTACAACGAAAAAAGTATTAGTTAAATCTTTATTCTTGAGTGTGAAGAGGCATTTGGATGATGCAAAAAAATGTGACTTTGGTTGCATGTCTATAAAGAATAATAATAAAAGCAGAAAAATCAATAAGAAGTCAAGGAAACCCATATTTGTCTAGATTAAAATTTGAAGAAATAGAAGATGTTAGAAACATGAAAATCCTGCCTAGTGGCAAGAAGGATACAGAAAAAACATACAAAATCTCTGGTCTGCAGGTTAACAGCACTTAGAACCCTTGTTTTAACCGCCACCAATAACATATATCCAGGTCAAACACAAACACAAACACAAACACAAACAAAGCAAAAGGGATCCATAATCCAGTTCTAAATATCAATAAAGACAGTATTTTCTCCCTTACCTGATTTGCTTCATAACTCATAGCCACTAAAAAATGGAACAGCAGAGCAAAAAGGATAGGCAATGGACATCCAATGCAGAAGAGAAGTATGTATATCTCTTCCATCAGCATTTTATGCATTACCACCTTTATCATTCCATTGCACATCAAAATACCCATTTTCTACATTTCTTTACAATTGAAAGGTCTTAAAGTTTTTCTTTGAAAATTTGAATCACAGGGTTTTTAAGCTGTTCCTCATTAAAACATGATCTCAGTAAAGGCAAACCAGTGACTGTATGTTCAATCTCCATATTACGAATTGCCGTAGCTGAAGCACTTTCTCGTTCAACTGAAGAGAGATTGAAATGAATTTCAAAAAAAAAAAAAAAAAAAAAAACTCTACCCTTATGCCAATAAGTTAGAACTGCAATATCTGAGAAATCGAGACACAATCCATATTCAATCTGAAATGAGAAGCATTCAATTAGATAATTTTTTATTTCAGCCTTCTAGTTAAGAAATGTTCTATGGGATTACTTAACAACATGATATCAAGTCAATATTTTGAATTGAAATCTATTATGCAACTCAAGTGTTACTTAACAATATAATCTCAAAGTCGAGACTTTGAATTCAAATCCACCATATCTCGATGAAATGGTAACTTAAGATAGTATCATAATGCTTAAACTTTTCGGTTCAGTAATTACAAGTCAAGTAATTACTTAACTTGAAGTTAAAAGAGGTGATTTCAAATTCAATTCGCCGGCGAATCAATGAAGTTGTAACTTAACATAATATCATCTCATTTAAACTTTTTTAGTCAAAGTGATTACTTAAGATTATATTAAACCACACAGAAAAGCAACTTAAAATGAAACATTTCTCCTAAAAACCTAAGGCTAAAAAGAACCCTGAGCTTAATTTTTTTACAGAAACCCACTCCCATCTTTCAATAAACAAAAGGATAATTAAAATTTACCCCCTTATAATCTAATTACTACATAAAACCTAGCACTTAAAATACAAGAAAGTCACAAAACAAGCACATATCACACCTTCTTGCTGCAAAACCACAGCTCCTTTGTCTGCAATTTCAGGCTCTCTCCCATCTTCGACGTCTGAATTGTGCGCTGAAACCGGTTTCTTAACTGATTTTCTCCCTCTTCGTTTAACCAATTATGCCAACTTGAACAACACCTAAGCCACAACCAGATTTTCTCAAATAGACAAAACGAAAATTTGTTTCCTTGAACGACGGCAAAGGAAGCAATGACTTTGGGATTAGCGGAGGTTTCTCTCTCCGCCGTCCGATCAGATCTCCTCTCTTTGTCTCTCTGGTTCAGAAGCAAAGAGGGAGAGAAAATGAACCAAATTTGAATTTTAGTGTTTGAATTAGAGATAAATGGATCTGAATCTTGTACAGAGATCAACGGGAGAGAAAATGAACCAACTTTGAACTTTGATGTTTGAATTGAGAAAATTTAGTTGCGCGGCCATCCCAAGTTTCCATTTAAAAAAATGGCCTTGAAAATGTTTTTCATTTTTTGTTAATTTAGAGAAGCTGACGTGGCATAGTTATGATTCATTAAACACGTAAAATGGGTTAAAATGAAAAGACTAAAACATATATGGGCCGAATAAAATAATGAAAGTTTTTAAAATTTGAAATTTATCAAAACAAACCCCACCTATTCACCTCGCTTAATCAAAATTCATTAGGGCAAAAAGCGATTTCTTGAACCAAAAAGAGATACTGCGATTTTTTCCGATCGAACCTGCAAATTTACACACCATATTCAATCCTAAAATCAATTTCTTGAACCCTAAACAGAATACAGTCACGGTTTCCGGTGATATAGTCACGATTTCTTGAACCTTAAAATCGATTTCTTGAACCCTAAACGAAATATGTGCGATTTCTGACGATACAGTTCACATTTTCAATCGAAACTGCAAACTTTGACACCAAATTCAATCCAAAACCATGGTTGACACTCACAGTGAGGAGGAAAACCCAACGTCACTTCGAATCCTAGATTCTGATGGCACAAGCAGTTCAATGGCTGCTCCGGTGGATCATTCGATCAGTGAAGGTAGTCCACAAGCAGAGGAGACGACGGCGGCACAACAACAGAAAGAAGAATCAGCAAACAGTTCTGAAGACAAGGAGTCAAGCGAGAATTCAGGCCAGACGAAGGAGTCCGACGAGAATTCAAGCCAGGAGAGTCGTCCGAGGATTCAGGCGACGAGGAAGAGGCCGGCGAGAATGCAGGCGACGAGGAGGCCGGCAAAGAAAGGGTACGTATTTGTTTTAGGAATATTGCTATGTACTGTCACTTAAGCGATCATTTGTATCGCTTAAGCGATTAATCTCTTTTACTCATGATCGCTTAAGTGATATAAAGGATCACTTAAGCGATTGGTTCAGTTTACTCTTGGTCGCTTAAGCGATTTCAGATCGCTTAAGCAATCTTGTCAAGGTAGAATCATAGATATAAGATCGCTTAAGCGATCTTTTGTATCGCTTAAGAGATTCTTTTATTTTACTCTTGGTCGTTTAAGCGATTTCAGATCGCTTAAGCGATCTTGCACGAGGCAGAGTCGAGATCTCTTAAGCGATCCGAAATTGCTTGAGCGACTACAGTGGTAATTTTTTGTTGCTGATATTTTGTTTATTAGTTGTTTTGGTTTATTTTTGTTACTGACATTTTGTTTATATCGATTGTGCGGACCGTAAACTGTAGAGACTACGAGTTGGAGCTTATAAGTGATAAAGTACCCTACTTCCCTACAAGGGTGATGGTGAGGTCGAGTTGGGATGTTTTTGACAAAATAAAGGACATTTTAGCTAGAATGAGGCATGGTGCAAGAGATTTTCGTCGCACTTGTTTCGGTTAGTTTTTAAGAATCAGAAATAATTGGAAAAAGACATTTTGGGGGCAGGGAGTGCATTACATGTTGCTGCACTCAGTAAAATGCAATAAAAAAAAAAAAGAAATGTGGTTCGTGGTGGATGGAAAGCCACTACGTTATGGGATGATGGAGTATGCCTTGGTGACAGGCTTAGGATGCGAGGAAGTGCCAGATAAGGCAGAGGCAGACGCAATAAGAATGAGTCCGGGAGCCAAAAGGTTTCGTAAGAAGGTTTTGTCGGGGGCAAAGTCTATTACAGGATAGGTTTTAGAGAAGAGGCTACAAACAGTTCGGTTTAATGATGGAGAGAAGATAAAAGTGTGCTTCGTATTGTTTTTACATTCGATCTTATTAGCTGGTGACTCAACAAAAGCTGTTGAGAATGTTTTGTTGTTCTTTGCAAGCGACTTGCAGTTCTTTAATTCTTATCCGTGGAGACGGATATCATTTGAGTGAACCATCAACAGCCTGAAAAAACCATACATGGCGTTAAAGCAGGCCCAATGGGTCGGGAAGGATAAACCAAGCACGTACAATTTGTTTAGCTTCCCATGGGCAATGCAGGTAAATATTAATAGTTTTTTGTTATATTTTTTAGAATATATGTGTTTGAATTATGATATGGACTATTTTTTTACAATGTAGGCTTGGATGTATGAGGTCATCCCTGTCTCTTCGCTGGGGGGGGGGGGGGGGGGGGGGGGAGGAGCGACAGTTTGGATGTGCAACAGCAATTTCCTAGGATGTTGCGGTGGCTGTTGGAGTAGGTGCCCTAGAGCCAATCAATTATTGTAGAATTGACTCTTTGTAATAATGTTTATTAATCAAAAATAAAAGGCATCTTATTCTATATCGTGTAAATCATTATTATTGCAATATGTATTGATATATGTCCTTAGAATGGTAGAACCATGACGAGGGTATCAAGTGTTTCAAATCTTGATAGTGAGAACCCTATGAGCACATATGGTGGCCATTCTAGAAACGTCCGTAGCCCTAGTATTTTTTTGAAGTAAGGGCACAAATAATACGGTAAGGCTATCATAGTGTTGAACGACCCTGTCGAAAGGCAGTCACTGATCTCACATGTCAAGGTTGTTTGGTGACAACCTGGTGCAACACATGGGTGCTTGCTATAGGCGATTACACAACAGCAAGTTCACTAGACTGACCTACCAGAGGATTCCATATGGATGGTAACCCCAGTGTCTATGGAACAAATCCTCTAACGAATGGTGGTGCATGTGATCCTTAGACTTGAGATCACCAGAGCGCCTTGTGCACCGATTGGTGTAGTTTGACACTAGCCTAACGCAGTTCTTTTCAGAGCTGTCAATACGGTGGTGATTGGCTGCATCAANACGAAAGAAAAATAAAAGTACACTAGCACTCAGCCAAATATCAACAAAACAATGACATAAAAGCAAGAAAACAATTTCCAAGCAAGCCAACCAATGAGATAGGCAACAATCACATACACTGCAGAGGATGTGTTTGAATCTTCAGATATTCCTCCTGTGGAGTCAAACGAATTATCTCAGTTGAATTGAGCAGTGTATGATCAAGGTTGAGTACCAAGTAAAGCTTTTTATTTCGTGATAAATTTTTCATGTCCTCGATTTGCAATCCAACGACATCATCGTTTCCCAGCCTTAGACCCTACAATTACAATTGTTTCCCACACATTATCACTACAAGAGCAAATTACAAATATACTGCTAGTATAGTATCAACAAACCAAAAAAAAAAAAAAAAAAAAGATCCTTATGTATAACAACCTTAGTATATACCCCCAATGGCACACCCAAATCCTTTTCCAACCTCCGCCCACAAACACAACACATCCCTCCGAAAGATCCTTCGTCTCTAAATACATGCCTCTTCAACACATTCATTGGTTCCCATGAGTGGAACTTTTTTGGCCTTTTCTTTGCTTCACCGTCCAACAACTCATCCAGGACTGCGACAAAGTCATCAGTGTCAGTCTCAGTGCTGGACAAGTTTGGAGCTAAATCCTTCATATTTTCAGCCGTCTGAAATCACAACATTCTTTTTAATAAATATATATAAAAAAATAAAAAAAACAAAAAACTCTTTAAAGGATAAAATATACAATACCAAGCAATTGATAAATGATACAAACATAGCAATAATCTATTGAAAAGACAAACCCTGTATGACCTTAATCAATCAAGCCTCTCCATATCCATAACTCTTAAGCAACTGTTAATCATACTCCTCTCAGATCAGCCTCACGGGAACCTAACACCAGAAGACTACTTTCAGAACTATACTACGATATTGAAAATTTCGATCAAGTCCCAAAATTCCTAATAATAAACCAAAATCCTCGACACGATTAGTTCCAAATGCTTTTAAAGAACACATTTCAACCAATTTCCAAAAAATATAAATGTGTATTAAATTAGAACTTCTAACTAAGTATTAAAAAAAAAAGTCATATACGCAAAAAATCTCAAATCTCCTTCATAACGAGACATATGATTATCACTATAAATAAGAAACAGACTTCCAACTGTGGTGATTAATACTGTAATAGAAGAATGTATAATTTTCAATATAGAATTTGAAATATATAGAATATTCTTATTCAATTCTGTATACTATACAATCTATGATAATAGAATAGATTCATAAAGTGTAGATTCATAAAATTAGTTNGTTGTAATTAATATTGACATAATAGAAGTAAGTGGATCAATAAAGTAACCGAACTCAAAAGAAAATTCATTATTTATGGTCCAAGACCATACATTTTGATGAATGCAACTTAGAAAAATTTGTTGAATAGATAGATAGAGCGAAAAGATCATAACTATACTTAACAAAAAAATACTCAGAAACGTCCACATACGTCGAAGGTTTTTTGTTGCTGTCGGAAAAAGTAGAAGTCCAGCTCCGAGTAAAATAGGTACTGGAAGTGGAATGAAAGGGATGATCCATGAATATTGATATGTATGTTCCATAAAATAAAAAACCCTTTTTATTTTATTCTTAAATTTATTATTTCTTATTCACTGGTTTGTATATATATATATATTTTTTCAAAGGGGATAATAAAAAAGCGCATTTTTTCAAACTTAAATAGAAATTTTTTCGAATTAGTATAATCCTTCATAAACCTTTGAAAAGAAATATATTCAAATCAAAAAATTAGAAGTTATTAACTAATATTACTAAGTTACTGTAAAAAAAACGATTTGTCTTTTTTTTTTTACTACTAAAAAAAATTTTGATTTTATGCAGATACAGAAAAAGTGAATTCTAATTCCGTATTACAATAATTTATATACATATATTAAGAATAGAACAAAGATTTACACGACAAAAAAATACTTAATATTAAGTATAAAAAAAAGTTATTTGGGTTTGATTATTTAGAATTATTATTGAATTATGGAATTTAGTGATTGTCTTCCAGTACACTAAGTGAGCTTTTTTTTCAAGAAATATTATTATAATCGATATTTTTTTTTACATATGAAGTGAAGAAAGTTAATAAAATTTTTTTCTAATATAATCTAAATCTATCAGTATAGATTAATTAAATGAGCACTCTCATACGGATTTAAAACGTTAAATACAAAAAATTTTTCAAGAAAAAGGGAAAAAATAGTTGGGTTTTAAACTTTTGAATGTCTGTTTTGTTTGAAAAATAATATATAATAAAATTTGAAAGAAAAAATTTACTCAATATGGAGTACGAAAGAATAGAATAATAAATGTCTTTGACATCCAATTATACCACTGAAAAACTTTTTTCATTTTTGAATGGCAGTTCCAAAAAAACGTACTTCTATCTCGAAAAAGCGTATTCGTAAAAAAATTTGGAAAAGGAAGGGATATTGGACATCGTTGAAAGCTTTTTCCTTAGGGAAATCGCTTTCTACAGGTAATTCAAAAAGTTTTTTTGTACAACAAAATAAATAAAAAACACTAGAATCATTAGAATTAGCCTAACGTAAAAACCAATTTTGTAGAATACATATAAATTAAAAAAATCTATAGGAACCAAAATAAAAAAAAAAAAGATAATATATATACGAAATATACGAAAGATTCCTATTGATTTTGTAAAAAAAAGGGGGGGTTATTACTTTCCCCATCAATAAAAAAAATAAATAAAGATCTTGTATTTCCTCTTAACTAGGAAATACAAGATCTTTTAGCGAAATCAACAGGTTCTTTAAATTAATTTAAGTCAAATAAGTCAAAAATTTTTCACTTTATACCTTTAGGAATTATTATTTCTCTTAATTCTTATATTCTTTACTTGGAATCAAAGTTATAAAAGTATCTATCCACAATTAAGTGAATATTAGATACTAATAAGTAATAATATATGATATTTTTTTTAAGCGATCAAAAAATATTATGTTTGTACAATATAAAAAGATGCATGAAAATAGATATTTTGACAATTGTTGTTTTTCATTTTTCTTGAGCAACTTAGGCAAATTTTAGTTAAAATTTCTAAGGATTTTGGAGAAGTTTTAATTTTTAGAAAAAGCATTTTTTTAGTAATAAAATCAATTTTAAATTCCATTAAATTAGCTTCTTTATTTAAAATTTGAATCTCGACGATTGAGTAAAAACTTGTTAGTATTATTTTGAACAAGTTGCCGCTATGGNTACCCAGAACCATTGTAACAACGGTTTCGGTTCCGAATCTGGGTACCCTGTAAAATTCTTTGCCCCCAAAAGTTTTTAAAATGACAAAAAAACCCTTAAAAACTTACAAATACGCCCCCACCTGGCACTTGTTAACAAAAATAAAATTACAAATTACAAATTATAAATTCAAAATTCAAAATTACAAACTCCATTACTTTGTAAAGATTCTCAAAAGTCAAACCAACTTACTTTAAATGTTATGAAATATAAATATAAATGTATTCACATTATTTTTTCTACAAAAGTTTTTATTAACCCCCCTAATATTTAATTTAATTTTATATTAGTCTTGATTCCTGGTTCCTGGTTCCGGTTTCGATTCCTAACTATAGGAATTAGAACCGGAACCGCACAATAACGGTTCCAAAAATTTGGAACCGGAACCTACCCATTGATGATTGGTTCTGGGTAGGAACCAGAACCAAATCCAGGGTACCCGCCGATTTTGGTTCCAACCGGTTCTTTTGAACACCCCTAATTAGTTATATAGTATTTTTTTAAAAAAAATTGTTGTCAATTTGTAGTTGACTTTTTTCTAACTCTCTCGCTTTCTTCTTGCTAAGTGTACCGAACATAGAACAAAGTAATTTACTTTGTAATTATAGGAGCCACATTTTGTTAAGCAAATTTGGGTGGCACAGAGAAGACATATAGGGTGACTGAGTAAAAATAGGTTATTATGATTTCCAGTAAGCCGTTATGGTGAAATCAATAGACACGCTGCTCTTAGGAAGCAATGCTAGAGCCTCTTGGTTCGAGTCTGATCAGTGGCGGCAGAGCATCTTATAAAAGATAAAAAGATATATAAAAAGCCCTATAATGAATTTAACTTATGATTTTCATTCCGTATACTAGAAAGACTCTCCCTTTTAATTTGATTTTTATTTACGATATTTTCAAGAATGCAATTTAAACGGTTAGAAGGAAATAAAGTTCTAAGTCTGGAAAAAAATCCAACTACAAATTTAGTGAAGGCTTGCAATGTGCAAAATTGTACTAAAGATCAACTTCCGTCCTCGTTGGTATTCAATGGTGGAATTTTGTGATTTTTTAGAAGCTACACACTTTACTTGTAACCAGTGATTAGGAACCCGACCCGGCTTGGTCGGTTGAACTGGTTCAATAGTGACCCGCCGCCTGTACAGACTCGGGTTACAAATTTTTCTATTCATTAAAAACTCTAGAAATTAAGACATCAGTCCATGAACAATCGAAGGCTGAAAAGTTAGGGCTTTTGAAGAGGAATGACCGGTGAGTAGAATGGTGGCAACAATGTCGATTTTTGGTGAGTGAATTGATTAGAAATTGCAAAACTATGTCACCGGAAATCGTAAAACAAAGCCAATTGTCACCAATGATTGGAGTGGCGAATGGGGGAGGGGTGAGATGGGTTTTCGTAAGGAGGCCGAGGGAAGTGTTTTCGTGATGATGGGGAGTGTTGTCGTCGCCAGAAATATGCCCTATTTGCCGATGTCGATGGTGGTGTTTGGGGTGTTTTGCAAGATTTCAAACCTATTGGGACTTACATAATTTTTAGGGTAATTTTGTTAGATTTCAAACCTTTAGACACTGGTTTGACTAGTGAGTTAAAACGCTCGACCCATGACCCAGTGGCCTAGCCGGGTCACTACAAGGGTCGGGTTTCTAATCACTGCTTGTAACACAATTATTCATTTTATCTAATAATTAGGATGACATACTATTTAAACTTATAAACATTATAATCATATCATAATCGAAGAAAAATTTTTTTATAACAAAAGATATATCATCAAGTCACTCATGCTCTTCTTCCAAGCTTTGGAGGTGGAGGGTAACCATGTTTCCCACTCTTTTTAGCGAGTATGTTCGACAATCATCTTATATTCATATTCTAAAGAAGATGTCCCCCAAGAATTAGATTCAATAAGTCAAATTTAAAATTGTACCACATATACATTATTTTGACTTCAATTCATTCCTTTTTTTTTTTTTTTTTAATGACGGGGGGTGTTCAAGCAACTTACGTGCACCTCAACTAATCTTTTGAGGCTCAGAAACTATCAGCCGGATAAGAGCTCAAGTGGCTATCGCTATTGGCACTCAAGGAGAGACTTGAACTCAGGACCTCTTAAACAATATACCCAAAAGTCCTTATCAAACCACTTGATCACCCAAAGGTAGTTTCTTCCATTCACTCTAGCTAACAACTAAGGTGATTGGCAATTTTTAAATAAATATATATATGACATGAATTAAATAATTTAATCACAGAAAAGATGTAAAACCTCCATATATACATAATAAAAAATATATTAGTTAAAAAAAGTACTTGATATGAATCAAAATTTCTTTCTTCTCGATACCCTTACTAATTTATTCTCAAGGGAGTTGTTGCTTCACCAGGTTAATGCTTTTCTCACTGAAAAAAAAAATTTAATTGTCCATTTTTCCAAAGAAACAATCATCAAACAAAAATGCCTTCTTCAACAAAAGAAAATTTCTAAAAGAGCCCTACAAAACTCAAAGCAGAGTGATGTTTTTT